GCTCTCAAGCTGGATTGAGAGCCTGCATCGATGACTAATGAATTTGAATATCTGCGTCTCAAATCGTGACGCGAAATTCTCATTGGTCAGATGCTATAATTTATATGTTTCCGCTGAGCTCTATATATGTCAACTGCTGAAGCACTATGCATAAAAAACACATTAACTGCTCAAATTGGTCTTGGCCGTCTTATCTCAAAGCACGAAATGTTTTGTTTTGAGAAAACAGTATTTAAAACATTTGAACTTTTGCTTGAATATCTTATATTTCGGAAAACAGTATAAACTGTACGTCTAAATTTAGTTTGCACGGTCTAAATTTAGTTTGCACGAAAGTTGTAAACAACACCATATAAGGATAGACATTCCATATTTGGAAAAACGAACGTTACGGGGCAGATATTCAAATTCATTAGTCATCAATGCAGGCTCTCAATTCAGCTTGAGAGCCTGTTCGCAGGCTATCACAAACCCAGACGTCATTTCCTATGCTCACCTAACCTGAGTATCAGGCTCTATTTTACAAATAATAGCCTGACACAAACCTTAATCCGATCGCTTATTTCCACCCACAGCAAAGTTTATATTTTGTATCCAATCAAAATGTTGCAGGAGAAATTTAAATTTCACACAACAACAACAACAATCTAATTACAGTTGTGGTCACTATAAAATATATCAACAACAATAGTATAATCTAATGAGCACCAACCAATCAAATGACAGATTAAAAAATCTTTTGTCTCATAGACCAATCAGATTTACAACCGAAATACAGTTGTATGGCATGGACTTTTGTTAAGGTTTGTATCAGGCCTATTTATTTATTTATAGGCCTGATCGCAGGTTAATGCTCACCTATTTCCAAGTGACTGGGGATAGAAATGATGTCTGGGTTCACCAACTGCACCTCTAAGTGCACCCATTTTTATACTCAAAGTTATATGCCTTCCCACTTTGTACCAGTTTAATATTAATAATGATATTCAATAGATTCATTCCCCCATTTTGGGGGGAAATGCTCCCCCTCCCGCCGAATTTAGCTATTTTCAGATTTGGGGTCGAGAGAATTCGGGATTTTGGGGGAAAATCCCCCCATTCCACCCACAAAATACCCCCAACTTTCAATTTCCTCTGTGGGGGAGGTGTGGATGTTTCCTGGAATGACCCATTTTCATGGAATGGCTGAGAACACAAAACATTGGACACTGCCTTACAGTCAAACCGGATGTTTGTTTCCGCGGAATATTGCAACATTGTTGGGAATATTGCAATTTTGATTGCGAGATTGCTCTGAGCAAGTTGCAACTGACGTGATCAAATTGCAAGTTGAAATTCACAATCAGATTTGTAAACAAAGTCTCTGATTGGCTACTGGTAGCAAAGAAGAACCAATCCATTTGCTCAGAGTATTTGATTGGTTCTTATTTGCTACTAGTAGCCAATCAGAGACTTTGTTTACAAATCTGATTGGGAATTTCAACTTGTAATTTGATCACGTCAGTTGCAACTTGCTCAGAGCAATCTCGCAATCAAAATTGCAATATTCCCAACAATGTTGCAATATTCCGTGGAAACGAACATCCGGTTTGACTGTAACACTGTAAGAAAATAAACCAGAAAACGTTAAAGTGGAAGTCAAGTCGGTATGTAAACAAACGGTTTGTTTACATTTTGAACTGCTGTAATTTTAAAAATATGATGTACTCACCATTTTGGTTCGCTATGCTTCTAAATGAATATGAAATACAGTTTATGTTCAGAAAAATTCGGAACATTCGAAATTTGGGCAATGTTTAATTAGAGGGTCCTCACATTGTTATCACTTATGAGCAGAACCGATGTGCAGAACGGACTTCACTTCCACTTTAACAATAAAATTTCCACTAAATAAATAGAATGAAAGGGAAAATTCATATATTATGCCCATTCCTGGCCATACACTGACCCCGATTCATTGCACTTTGGCAATCTGGAGGATTCTTCATTTCCAATGTCCATTGTCAGAACACATTTGTATAGAACACATTTGTCAGTTTGTACATTTCTATGAGTTTCCATGTGATTTTGGAGCTTTATAAGATTATCAAATGCACAACTGCACAAGGAACAAACATATCCCATATCAGCTGGCTCTGTTTCCTCAAAATCCTGACCAAAATCACATTGGTTGGGTCTCCCATGGTCTGTCTCCTTGCATGTACGTGAAGTTCCTTTATGCCTTGCTAAGGTGCTTGATCTTGAAAACGTTTTCTTGCAAATGCTGCATTCAAAAGGTTTCTCACCATTATGTGTTGTGGCAGTTGTGCTATGCTTTTTCAAGTCCCCTTTTTGGCAAACATCACCTTCATGCAGTTTGGCACCAGTATGTGTTATTTTATGTGATCTCAAGTTACTTGGGTCTGAAAATCTTTTCGTGCAAGTGTCACACTGATAGGGCTTGTCTCCAGTATGCATTTGTTTATGAAAGGCAAAGTTACCTTGGTCTGAAAAACGTTTTTTGCAAACATCACATTCATAAGGTTTGTCACAGGTATGTGTTCTTGTATGTCTAACCAAGTGGCCAGATTGCGAAAATTTTCTATCACAAACGGCACATTCATATGGCTTGTCTCCAGAATGTGTCCTTTTGTGTGTTTTCAAATTACTGGAAACAGAAAATCGTTTGTTGCAAACATCACATTCATATGATTTATATTGTCCAGCTAACTTGCTTGGGTTTGAAAATCCCTTATGTGATGCATTTATATGTCTCCCTAAGTGGCTTGATTGGGAAAATCGTTTCTTGCACACATCACATTCATGAGGTTTAACCCCACTATGCACTCTTTTATGTCTTTCTAAATTGCTGGATACTGAAAATTGTTTATGGCAAACATCACATTCATACGGTCTCTCCCCGGTGTGTATTCGCTTGTGTGCTATTACGTCACTTGGATGTAGAAATCTTTTGTTGCAAACATCGCATTCATGTGGTCTGTCTCCAGTATGTTTTCTTCTTTTGTGTCTCTCTAACTCAACAGGCACGGAAAATGCTTTGCTGCAAACATCACATTGATAACGCTTCTCCCCAGAATGCGTTACTTTATGTCGGACTAAGTGGCACGACTGGACAAACCTCAATTTGCAAATATCACATTCATAAGGTTTGTCCCCAGTGTGTATTCGTTTATGCACTGACAAGTTAGCATAGTCTGAAAATCGTTTTTTGCAAACATCACACTCATAGGGCTTCTCTCCGGTATGTGTTCTCTTATGTCTAACCAGGTCGCTTGAACGTGAGAATTTTTTGTTGCAAATTTCACATTCATAAGATTTGTCATGTGTATTTTTATGCACTGCGAGATTCTTTGCATTCAAAAGCTGTTTGTTGCAGACATCACATTCAAAAGGTTTGTCTCCACATTGACGTATTCGTTTGTGCGTCGCTAAGCCACTTGGAAGTGAAAATCGTTTCTTGCAAACATCGCACACATAAAGTTTGTCGTGTGATTTTTTATGTATTACTAGTTTGCTTGGAGTTGGGCATCTCTTCTTGCAAATATCACATTCATAAGGCTTTGCTACTGTACCTGTATGTATCTTTTTATGTCCAGCTAAGGTGCTTGGGTGTGCAAATCGCTTCTTGCAAACATCACATTCATAAGGTTTGTCTCCAGTATGTGTATTTGTATGTGCTGCTAGATTGCTTGGGCATGAAAATCTTTTATTGCACAACTCACATTCATAACGTAATTTGTTGCCGACGGCAGCAGTGTTCATTACTTCGTCATCGATGAAAGCTGCTTATATTTTAGTGAAGCATTATTTTAATGACTTTCAAAATCAACAGTATGACTGACTGAATAACAGTCTTCATGATCTATCCATTTCTGTTATCACTAAAATATAAAAATGGACAAAAACAACAATGGCCGACGTAGGGAATGTTATGGATATTGATAGATATTGATGAAATATGAGCTTTTTCCATTGAACTGAATAGAACTGGAACGCTACCTCCAAGCGGAAATTCGAATGCCAGTCCCAGTCTTTTCACGCATGCGAAGAGCGCTCAATCTGTCAATCATGATATAAACACGCGTGATCTGACCTCCAGACACGCTTGCAGCACAGAATACCACACAGAAGTCTATCTCCATTGTTTTTTTGCGGAAGCTCTATTCGTCATGATCAAGGTCATGATTCGTCACTCAGCAGGTACCGTAAACACTAAACAGTAGCAGCCCCCCTCCCCCCCCTGGAAATACTAAAAATGGCGCATGTCCAGGGGGCGACTGCTTCTGTTCAGTAGTGTTCACGGTACAGGCAGTTTATCTGAAGGATAGCGTTCCAGTTATATGAAGTTCAATGTCTTTTTCAGTCTAGTTGATCCGACCCCCCCCCCCCCCACCCCCTCCTGACGAATTCTTAAAAGAGGTTCTGTCTACCGCTCACAGTGTACGTGCATTTGGTCATTTTGTATAGCAATGCCGGGCAATCGGAAGCAGATTGTTACGGGGGGTGGGAGGGAGGGGGGGGGGGACGCTCGTCTACCAATGAAACCCTTGCGTTTCGGAAACCTCGGAAGAGCATTTCCTGACAGGAATTTTGTTTACATTAAACGCACGTGCGATGTTTGCGATAGACGATTTTACCAATCAAGCCACTTAACTAGACACACAAGAGAAACACATAGTGGAGAAAAAGTGTCAGGGAACTTATCATTATCGTGCAATTTCCATGACCAGGAAAGTACTAAACCACAGGACGTGCTAGTTAAGGTTAATTAATATAGAGGAACCGACATGTCACCATTATGATTGCAAAACCAACAAAGAAAGCTTAGACTCCTACAGTTTGACACAAGTCTATAAAGGAGCAGAGAATGCAAGTCCAGGGCCTTTTTTAAGGATTTTCCCGTGGGGAGCATTTTTTGAAAAGGGACCTTTCTGTGAGATAATATATTAGAGGGGGATAGGAACGGCTGAAGGCCACGTGTGTGGCCGACATACCACGCATGAATAGGGGGTCTGGAGCATACTCCCCAGTCTGAATAGCTGTCTTTGGAAATAATTTCACGAAGTAAGTCTATAATTGCGTATATAAATACATTGCATATATCACTCTATAAACAACGCCTTTTTTAAGAATTCGTCAGTGGAAGGGTCATTTACAGTAAAGAACCATACTATACTGAGTATGGAGAGATACGAGGTGGTTGTTGGTGACAAGAAGTTTGGTGTGGTGTCGTATTTAATGTCGTATTTCCCACCCCCATGCAGAACTGTATTTTGTGCATTTCCAGAGACAGATCTTTGGATATACCGTGTTAGATTGACTGATCGTGTGTTCAGTTAAGTATTTGCATGCTATGTTTATCAAAATATCACAACTCGATCACTAAGTGAACTTGTTTAGCCTAGCCTTCCAACAACTCAAATCTATAGGGTCTTGGATATGCTACCTACTGGGTAATTTTTAAAATCTAAGGTATTTACAACATAATATTTGAAGATAGAAGACATGACATAAGATTCATAAAGCAAGGTACAGTTTCTAGAATGTCAAACCTCCCTTCCAAATTCCATTTTCATCAAATATTTTGCTTATGGATGGGGGAAAAATGGCTGACTGGGGGCCACAATGGTGGCTGCATGGGGGGCTTCCTAGTTATACAGCTAAAAACGACTCTGCCTATAAATCTTAAAAATGGATAATACATGCATGTAGTTCTCAAAATGTTGAATACGTACGTGTGCCGTACAGAAACCCAATATGTTATCACACACTCGGTTTTAACCCTTGACTCTTTATATATATTACAATTCCCAATTGCCTTACATATGCATCTTAAATTAAGCTTCTCTCAGGATGGGTGCACAATCTCATTCACTCTCCTCGAATTTCTAGTGCTGATCATGTGCATACTTAAATAACTGCATGTCTCTCTTTCATGATGGCGGCTTCAGTGGCAACCGCCCCCCTCCTCCCAATAATTTCAGATAACGTTCAACCTCGTACTGTGAAACGAAGCTGTGACAATTATTTTTTGGCTATGAAAGTATGGTAAGCTATAGATTAAGCAATTGCTACGAATATATACAAACTCACAGGACAGACCTGTAGTACAAATGTGACTTGCTATAATTGTATTTGATACTGTATTCGTAGCGATTGCTTATAAATCTATAGCTTGCTATGCTTTCATAGTAAAAAATAATTGTCACAGCTTTGTTACCAGTTATCCAGCTATCAATCAAAGGGCGCTTTCCATCAACACGGCCAGACCGGTCAGAACGGTACCGGTCAAAATGTTGAATGGAACACAAAACATTTGGGCTTCGGACTTATCTGACCGGAAAATTTAGATAACATTTGAATGAGGTCCATTTTCGCTAGATATTTGAGAAACATAGACCAGATCTTTCCATTGATACAGAGAAAAACAATTTGGTCTGACCGGTCAGGCCATTAAATGGAAAGCGGCCAAAGATTCGGAAATTATTGTGGGGCGTAGGCTGCGGAGGGGGGGGGGGGAAGAAGTTGCCATACTCGAGTACAGAATTAATTAAAATATATTTATTTAATAGAAGTATATAATTTATTACATTGAATTTATTTTCCAAATATATTTCATTAAATTTATTATTAATTTATTTATTTATTAAAGTATGTTTCATTGAATTTATTGATATCCAAGTATGTTTGTTTGAATTTATTATCTAATCATTATAATGTACAGTATTACCATTTACCATAATCTCTTTATTAAGCCCCACGGGCAGCTCATTCTTTCAAGCACCTTTGAGGTGGGGGCTTCCTGGAGAGGGAGGGCTTGAAAAAGAGGGGACTTTATCTGTAAAATTATATCATGATACCTTTGTATATAAAAACAAATAGGTCCATAGTCATAGATCATTGTGTTTTTTAATGAATATGGCCGGGGGCTTAATAGAGGGAGGCTTATTAGAGAGGGGGCTTAATAAATTTCTTCATCTAAAAGGGTTATTGTTAGATATGGTGCCTATATGAGGGGGGAGGGGGCTAATAGAGAGTTTATAATATATCAATAATCAGCATAATTAAAAAAATAAATTGTTAACTCTTAATATATACTTTTACTTTAATTTTATATATATATATATATATATATATATATATATATATATATATATATATATATATATATATATATATATATAGTTTTATTTTCTATATAATATGTAATCTTTTCTATATATTACTCATTCTATGTATAATATCATATACGCAGGAACTTCCTGAAAATCACTACGGTTAGTGGAGCATTTCCTGTTAAAATATTGTTCTAATAATAACTGTCAGGTTATTATTAGAAATGAACTTCTCAAATCTCTATCTTTATAATACTCATACAGTATATTTAAAATATAATTTACTAACTCTTTGTATCCTTGTAAATATGTATAGCATCATGTATCCTATAGTCT